AGTGCTTTGAGAGGGTGGCTGTCCCGCATCGCAATACTCAGCGTCTCAGGCGGGCCCAGTGGCCGGTGTTCTGAACGTTCTGAGCATTCCGAGGCCATTCTGATCATTCCCGTTACCTTGTCAAGTCAGAAATCGGCCACGTATCTAGATACCGTACCTAACCTAACTATCTATAACCTCGGGGAGAGGGGGGACGACACTGCTTCGGCAGCGTGCACCTCGATCCTGTACCGTGTTTGTTATGACCCCCCCCCAATGAACTCACCAGTGAGGGAGGGCGAGACGATCGAGGGGTCCCGTACCACGCGGAATCTATCCAGTGCTCAAGTGCTCAAGATACCCGCCCCCCCCCGGGTCGGGCGTTGGTTGTAGCTCTGTTACGGGCGTTCCGCCATGGCGCGCTTCGGCGGCCCGATGCTGCGGATACTTGTGGGTGATCTGCACGTCAATGCCTCGGCACGGCCCACGGCAGCATGCGTCAGCTGCAGAGCGTTCAGGGGACCCGAACATTGGGGGAGCCTCACTCGCTTCCAAGCCAGTGCAGACGGCCTCTGTCCAATCGCCGCCGCCTTCGACATTCTGCTGGATAAGAGCTCAAGTGACGAAGAGCTGTCGGCCGGAATCGACCTCGTGGTATATGCTGCACGTGGCGACGAGCAGGCGCTCCCGACAGCCGAGATGGACCGGCTCGGGCGGGCGCACCTGCCTCTGTGTGAGCTCCTGGGGGTGCCTGCCGAAGTCGGACTGTGGCTCGAGCTGGTGGATGAGGAGCAGTGTACCATTGGCGCGGTATCGCTGGCTGTCAAGGGGGCCAGCGCTCTGGCAGCAATGGTGCCTGCCGACAGCAGCTTTGCTCAGCCGCTCGGCCAAAGCGCACTCGCGCGGAGGGGCTCGATAATGACCGGCACCACGTCGGGCTCGTCTGCAGCTGCGGCCGTGGCAATGGCGGCGGAGGCGGCGGCTGCAGCTGCAAAAGCAGCCAGGGCAGCGGCAACAGAGCATACGGTGGCAGCAGCGGCGGTAGCACCGCGCGAAACGGCCTGCACAACAGCGCATGCAGCGGCATCAGCCGCTGAGACTATGGCGACGGCTGGGCCGAACGCCAACCGATGTCCAAGCAGGTGCGGCTACCTTGGCGATGCATCGGGTCAAAGACCCAAGTTGGCGCCTCGAGCCCCTCGCATTTTGCAGGGGCAGATCATACCTCGGAAAACGGTAACTTGGGCCGACGGATGCGGCCTTGATTGTGAGGAAAGCGTTCACTTCCTAGGCAGTGCCGCCGCTGTTGGTGTGGAGAGCGACCCAGATTTTGGCTGCTCGTCTTCTGAAGAGGAGGCTTCCTACCCTCCCGGTCGCATGGCGGACGGCCTCAGCGCCTCCCTCTGCCTTGCTGCAGTCAATCCCCTCACCGCTTGGGCGGTGCGTGAGGGCATATCTCTCGAGGCGTTTATTCCTCTGCTTCCCGATCCCGTTACGGTGGGGTCGATGCCACAGCCGCCCTTTGAGAACACCCAGCCTCCAACGCCGCCATCTCCTTCGCCACCCCTGCCGCCGTCGCGTTGGCCGCTGCCACCTCCACTGGCGACACCGGCGCCGCATCCGCGGCCTTTTCCCCCCGGCGGCAGCGGCTGCAGCTGCAGCAGCGTCAGCGAGCCGGTGCTGTCTCGTACAGCTTCGTCATTGCTCCCGTCGCCCCCGCTACCCGAGCCGCGGCCTCCGACCCTCCAGCAGCCCGAGCACCGGCCAGTGGAGGACGCTATGCACCATGCGTCGGCACGAGGCTCACAAGAGCTTGAGGGGTTGGCCCAGCAGTCTCGACAAGACATCGAGGCGGAGCCAATTCCGTGCATTTCGGGTCAACCTTGCGCGCCGGACCCCGTGGGACATGAGCGCCACGTCTTCTCGCCCCTCCGTCGCGTAGAACGCGGCATGGTCGAAGAATTGCCGCAGTCCCCAGAGGACCAGGCTCATGCAGAGGAGCAGGATGCAGAGGACCAGGCTCATGCCGAGGACCAGGATGCAGAGGACCAGGCTCATGCAAAGAGGGCGGCATGGGAAGCAAAGGTGGCTGCCGCGGCCGCCCGGGTGGCTGCCGCCGCTGCCCTTGAGGCTGCGCCCGAAGTGCCAGACGATGAAGCGGCGCAGGCGCCAAACGACGAGGCTCACGCAAAGAGGGCGGCGTGGGAGGCGAAGGTAGCTGCCGCGGCCGCCCTTGAGGCTGCTCCCGAATGGCCTGCAAGCTTGATCCGAGACTCCTCGCAATCACCCGGGTGGTTACCGAGGGTGCAGCCTCCGCTCGAGCGGGGCCAGGGGGCGCCTGCCGCCGAGCACGTTGCTGCGCAGCTGGAGGTTCGATGCGACACTCCGGTGGTGGCCGACGGCCCGCGGGTCCCGCCAGCTCCACCATGCGCACAGGACTCACTCGAGGCACGTCGCGAGCGTCTTGGGCGACACCCAGGCCGCCTCCAAGGCGCATTCCTCGAGCTGTCGCCACTGGGAGGCCCGGCGCCTTCGATGCAGCAGCAGCTTGTTGGCGGCCCTAGAGGAAGCAATCCCCAATGGCCATGCAACAGCAGCGCGCTGGCCGCCATCGCTGCGGAGCTAGAGCAATCGCTCTCGTGGCGGCGGTCGGCGGACAGTGCGGGCATGATAGCTGGCACTGCCGACGGTGGACAGCACGGCGCTCATCTCCCGCCTGACCCAACTAGTGCAGAAGGGACTCCTCATCCATTGGGCTTCCCGCCTGAGCAGCCCTCAGTCGGGGCAGTTGTGCCGCTACGGCAGCGTGCACGGTACAGGCGCACATGACGGCGTTCCATTTCTTTTGAACTGGGTGTTTTGTTTTTTCCTTGAGATAACGAACAGAACGAAAATGTCCAAGCTCGCGACGGTCTGGCGCTCTCCGGGTGGCGACACACACCCGCGCCGGCAGACACTGTCGCCATAACGCCCCTCGCTCCATCCCGTAGGCTCTGCTCGCCTGCTTCGCCGCGGTCCACGCCTCGGTCGAGCCGCGCACCGGCATCAGCTTCCCTGACAAGCACAAGGGTGGCTCTCTCTCGAGGCTCGGCGTGCGGACCAAGGGCCCGATCAAGGTGTACGCGGTCGGTGAATACGACTCTGGCACGTTTCTCCTGCGGATGTCGTACGGCGTCGGCGCACAGAAGATGGCGTCCGCTCTCGCCGACGCGCTCAAGCCGCGCTGCAAGGACGCGAAGCAGATTGAGGAGTTTGAGACGTGCTTGCTGAGCGGCCTGCCGAACGGCGCTCCCAAGGGGACGGAGCTCGAGTTTGCGACGGGCGGCTCGAAGCTGTCCGTCTCGGTCAACCAGAAGCCGCTCGGTGCCGTCGGCTCCAAGGCGCTCTGCTCCGCCTTTGCCGCCATCTACACGGACCGGAACGCCGTCTGCACGATGAACGCCGCCGGCGAGGGCGCCCAACCCGCAGCGTGCGGCCTTCTCTCGCCTGCGCGGAAGGGCGCGCTCGTGGGCGCCGGCGTGGGCTATCTCGCGGGCAAGGTGCTCGGCTGAGGCAGACACACAGGGGGAGTCTGCGCGACGCGGCCGCCAGGCGAGGTGCGGCCGATGCTGCTGCAACGCCACGGCCAGTCGCGGGGCGACCGGTCGCCGCTGCGCACCCGTGGAGGGTAGAGATGTGGAGGCGACGGCCCGCACTTCTGCTCTTCCGTACTCTAGAGACGACCGGCACCGGTGCGTCTCAACATGAGCATGTCCATGTGTGCGCCGCGAGAGAGGAAGAGAAGACGACAAGAGAGTGCGTGTCAGCCCGCGGTTTGTTTCTTTCACAAAATTCACTCGCTGGCACAGGACGCAAGAAGCACTTGGAGTTCCCCACGGTGCCTGTGTGGGGCCCTGGGTGTGAGTGAGGCTGATGACTGCACTCCGAGTGCTCCCACACAATGTGCCGGAGCTAAATAGCGCACCCAGCGGGCTTAGATGAGATAGAAAGGCGAAGGACAGTCAGGCTCGGACTGGACACCAACGCGGTATGGGTGGACGCGAGACAGAAGACGACGCGGGCCCGAGGGCCCCAAATGCGAGGGTCGCCTCCCCTTGCCCCCAAAAGAAAGAAAGAAAGCGCACACCCCAAGGGAGGGATGGGAGGACGGCACGCCGCCACCACAGCTGCGGATTTTGAATGTTGGTCTAAGAAATTTTTGTACCGCGCACGATTCTCCAAGGTTCTGTGTCACCGCCGACAACGTGCTGATCACGGTGCCACAGCCCCTGCATGGTGCTGCCGCGGCTAACGCCGCTGCGGGGAGCAGCCGGCCTCGTGGTCGGCGGCGTCGTCGGCTCCGTCCTCCTCAGGAAGCCGGAGGAGAATGATTTCGCCGGCACGCCGCTCAAGCGGAAGATCCAACGTTTTCAGTCGCT